TGTTGTACAACCATCATCACTATCTGTTTCCAGAACTTTTTCATCTCCCCAGCTGGAAACTCTGCACCCATAACACTAAATCGCCTTTCCTCCCTCTCTCAGCCCCTGGTAAGCACCATTCTAATTTGCCTCTCTGAATTTGTGTATTCTAAGTACCCCATGAGTGGAATTATGCAAGATTTGTTCTTTTGTGTCTGTCTTTCTTCATTTAGCACATTTTCAGTTTCAACCATGTTACAGATTTTTTAATGCTTCTCAAGCTCTTGTTCACAGTTTCTTTGCTTACTTGCTGGAGTGCTAACTTAGTTTGTGGGCCGGCATCAGCCCAGGGGTTGCTTTCAGACCGCACTCCGAATAGCACTACTCTAAGCTGTTACGTAACCGGACGTATGCTTATATGCCTACTTTACTGGACATTATCCCTCAAGTAAAACCGGGGAAGGATTGGATAACACCAAGGCAAGTAAGAGTCGTTTGTTTAGTAGGTAAGACCACCTGCATCAAGGATAACTTTTAGTGAAAAACAGAGAATCTTGTCTTGTATTTACCTAGTCATATGTATGTCATATTGGCACTGCCAAGACGGTGAGTTGATGATCAGATTCAATAAGGAGTAGTCATTAAAATAAGTAAAATTTTGGCCCATTGAAAGCATAAACCTTCTTATCACAGGCACCTGTATATTACTGTTCTTTAGAACCAAGCCTCCAAGCTGCTGTTTATTAGTATGGGTTCCATTATCAAATGGTCCAAATTGAAAACCATATTCTATCAGCTTTCTAGAGTCTTGAGAATTATCCCCAGAGGGTTCAAGATGGTGCCCTGAGCACATGTCTATCTCCTCTTCTTCCTAAGAGACCCCCCACTCCTCCAAGATGTACAATTTCCAATCATTTTCCAGTTCTAAACAAATCTCTCTCCCTCTCCCTCTTGCTGTTCTCAACGACACTTCTCTCCAGCACCATCACCTTACCTCACAGAAGCAAATGGAAATGTTGTGGCCTGCAAAAATTCCCTGAAGCAAGGAAACACTAGGGCTTGTTGGAAAGAATGGACACGGATAATAAGGAGAGAATAAGTAACACTTTGTACTGTAACAAGTCATCTTGCCGTATTCTTCTCAATGCCGACTGAGATCTGGGCAGGCAGATGTGCTCACTGTGCTTCCTCTTTCTAGACCGTACTTTAGAGACCCCAGGTCCTGGAATTTCCTGCCCAAAAGGCTTCAAGCCTACTTCCAGGGCCCAAGCAAACATCTTCCCTAAGACTCCCCAGCTAGTGTGTTCTGTGCTAAGCTTGAGGAATGGCCAAACAATTGCTCTTTGTTGGGAAGGGATGGGGGGAGCTTTAATACGTGGCCTGGGGTATCGACATGTATGCATGGGGTCCTCTCATGGTGAGGGGCAGACCTTTATGCTGTGGAGCCCAGAGTCCAAGAAGCCTCCATTCCAACCTGGCCTTCCAGTCATGGCAGTGGGAGAGAACATATTTAAATCTGTTACCTTGACTGACAACTTTTAACCACTTAGACAGCTGGTGTGTAGACATCCATTGTATTCTTGCCTCAGGCCCCACAAATGTTAGCAGGACTCTGTCTCTCTTAAAAGAGTCTCATCCTGATAATGACACTTCAGTTTCTCAGGGCTCTCCTTGCCTTTCAGCGTTACAGGGGGAGGCACTGAGGAGGCACAGTCCCAGCTCTGGGCTCTCGGGTCACTTGAAACATACTTTCTCTCCAAATGGCCAGGTTATCAGTTTGATATTGAGTGAGAGCATGTATTTCCTTTGATGTTCACCTTAGGCATTTGTTGACATTCTGAATTTATTTTTTGAATATGTAAAACACTGACGTGTTTCGGAGTATAAACTGTGTCTTGCCTCCTCCCTTCATTCTTGCCCCTCCCACCTCCCACACCCTAGAGGCAACCGTTTAATAAGTTGTTTATTTATTCTTCCAGCATGTCTTCCTGCAAATAGAAGCAAATACGTAGATGTTTTCTCCTCTCCCACCCCTTTATTGCACAAAATAGAGCTTCCTGCATACACAGTCCTGCACCTTGTGCTTTGTCACTGAACAAAGTAGCCTGGAGACCACAACATTATCAGTGTCTTTCTCAGTCCATTTTTACAGCCACATAGAACTCCACAGTATGAACATACCACAGTTGATTTTCACTAGTCCTATATCATGCAGGTTTGGGTTGTTTCCAGTATTTTGCTGTTCCAGTAGTATTGCAATCCATAGCCTTGTCATCCGTCATTTCATCAGTGTGCAGGAATACCTTGAAGATGGATTCCTAGCAGAGGAGTTCCTGAGTCAAAGAGTAAATACATCTCTAATTTCTTTAGCTATTATGAAACTCCCTTTTGTAGAAGTTACAGTTTGCGTTCCCACCAGCAATGTGTTGTGGGTGTGTTTCTTCTAGCTTCACCTACGGAGTGTGCTGTCAAACTTTGAAACAGAAATAGTCACTCAATGTATTTTAATCTGTATTTCTGCTATTATTGGTGAGCCTGGTCATCTTTTTAGAAGGGTAAAGCCCTGCTTACATCTCTTTTGCTATATTGCCCGTTTTTCTATTTTGCTTTTGGTCTTTTTCCTGTAGATTTTAGGAAGGATGTTAACCTTTATTTTGTGACCTAAGTTATAGAAGCTTTTCCCAGTTTATTTGTCCTCTGCCTTTTCTTATTGTCCTTTTAGCCAGGCAAAAATGTGTTCCTGCTTTTTAAATGTAGTCTAGTATGTAAACTGATCTCTTCTTTTCTGGCTTCTGGATTTTGTATCATAATTAGAAAGGCTTTCATCACTTCCAGGTTATAAAGGAATTCACCCATGTTTTCTTCTATTGTTTCTTTTAAAAAAATTTTAGATCTTTGTTCCATTTGGAGGAACTTTTGGTGTGTGGCATTGGCATCAGTCTTTAGAGTTTTTGATCATGGATTTCCCTACTTTGTTTAGATTTTCTGTTTTGAGTGTTAATCCCCCTGCTCAAGGACTTGGCAGTCCTGAGCATCTTCCCATCCTCATTAGTTATCTGCAATTAGCTTTGATCATCAACCTGTCCAAACATCCCTCATGAATACTTGTTTGCCATACACACTTGCTCCATCCTTTTCCCCAAGAGATCCCAGGGGACTCAGTTCTCCCAGGCACAACTCTTTATAAAGGAGGCTTGATGACAACCTTTTTCATGGCAGGCACAAGGCATGGGAAGTCGTGCAATCCCAAGGGTGAGGTTTGGGTCTTTGGTGTTACTCCTACTGCTTATGGACCTGTATTTGGGCTGGGAAGCTTTGGGGGACATCTAGGGGAGCAGGAGGTGGTAGGGAAAGGCAACACTGTAAAATGAGATGGGGAAGGGCATGTGATGGTGCGTGTCAACATACTTCGATTTTCCTCTGGTCCCCCTCTAGCTTTCTTCTTGGCCTCAACATTGTCTTAGTGTTCATTGAATGAGGGTGATTAATCTTCTTCATCATTCGGGCATGTTTCTAAGAATTTTGAAACGCAAGCCTGATTCTGGAAGTTTGCATAGCAGGCTTTTCTCTACGGAAATGTAAATGAGCTGTTTCACTAAGGAAGAAAGTTTTCAAATGTGGGAAAATGGATGAGTGTTTGCTCTCTGTGAAAATTCTTTTCATACTGAATAATGCAGCTGTCATTCTCTGAGTTGGTTTCTCAAAAACTCACTGTCAAACAAACTTACTTCCTGGTCCAGGCCTACAATGAAAGTTGTTTATTCATTTACAAGTCCTAAGCCTTGTTTGTATGCCTTCCGCTAAAAGCACAATGCCCCACGTGTTTGGTGTAAATGGTCCTTTACCATCTTCTAGAATTTTAACTATTTTGATGGCTTAACCTGATCTTCTATTTCAAACATGGGAACTCATCATAAAACGGACTAGCTTTTCCTTTACACTGATCTTTATTTCAATTTATTTTCAATCTTTTCAATTGATTTTTATTTCAACCAAAAATGTATTGCTTTTTGAAACTGAGATTATAATTAAGAGGGATAGGACGCTTGTATGGTGCTGCCAGAGGGGAAGCTCTCAAAACAGTGCCCAGAAGAAGAGTGGGAAAACATTCCCCAAATATTTTATTTGATTGTAAAACTGCTGGTCTGTCCTACCAAATGACTCTTGGTTAAAGGTAATGCTTTTATTGTTGGCAGATGTCCCAACCTGGTCGGCCTGAAAGTCCCTTGAGGGGCAAGCACCATGTTTAATTTTGAGTGTGCCCTAAAGCCATAATTTGGGAGAATTTATTGTTACATAAATTAAATACTTTAGTAATTATAACTTGGGGATAATATTATTCATTTCTAACTTTTAAAAATTAATAAAACAAAAGTTTAATATAGGTACCATTGCCACTATGATTTTAAATATATGTAAAACAAAAGGAAGAAATGAGTTAAACCCACACCTAGCATTCTGTCTTTGTGAAATGTGGGAAATCTGTATAAAATATTAAAAGCAGATCCTTAATCAAAGATTCAAGCATAAATAGCTTATTTGGAAGACAAGCCCAGGAAATTTCAGTAGTGGAATGGATAAGTAAGAAAGAGAAAGGGAGGAAGCCAATACAGTGTGTTAACAAGGCAGTACCACTGTGGGCAACTGGAGCAAATCCCTCTGAATTCTGTATAGTAGTGCAGACTGTGTCCCAGAGTTGCCTCAACAAAGAGGCGAGGAAGCCTCTAGTTGAGGACTGCTCTTGGAACATTAACTCTATGGCACTTCTGCTTGCTCCACTGCTGGCCAAAGATGAGCCTAAGTGTGAATATCAAGGGGACACGGAAAGAGCAGCAGCGTTTCCTCCTAAGGAAAAATGATGCAAAGTGCAAAACAAAAATATTCCATACTTTTAAAAAATTATTTTGGGGGGATGTTATTAGATTATTTTTGTTTGTTTTAGTGGAGGTACTGGAGATTGGACCCAGGACCTCGTGCATGCTAAGCATGCACTCTATCACTCAGCTACACCATCCCCCCTATACTTTCTTTTGATACGCTATTGAGATCTAGAAATTAGTTCCTGCAGAAAATAATTTGCAATGAATAAAGCAGGAGAGCAAGATAGAGAATCTGAAAACCAAAGTAACCAAAGATTTCCATTAAAGCAATACGTTAAGCTCATTAAATATTCATGATACCTCATAATCCCACTGTAATGACTCAAGGGTCTCCTAACCAAGAAATACAACTTCTTTAATATTATCCCCCAAGTTTCAAGTCACTGTGCCAATAAATAGGCAACCAAAGATGAAGATGGTTAGGATACATTCTCTGCCCTATTTGAAATACTGATTTTGGCCTTCTCAAAACTCCATTAAATTTTAGGTTGGTTTTTGTTTTTATTTTGGTAGAGTTACTTAAGTGACTCGTACATGGGGATTTTAATTCTCCATCTCCATTGGAAGCTTCAGGTTTGCAGGGGGGAGGGTGGAGAGAAATGAGTCATCTGGAAGCCAATGAAGCTGATGATAATGTAGGTACAAATCATGTCCAGGGAAACTGAAGGGCTTTGTCTTGGAAAATAGGGGGAGTGGGAGAACTGTCTTCAGATCATTTCAAAGTCAAAAAAGTGGTAAAATTGGTCTATTCTCTTTGCTCTCCTGTATTCATCAAAATAGACTGTAGGTGTGGGGAGGACAGCATGAGAAGTGGGCCAAGGCCACCAGACAGTCCATCATTCCCCAGTTGTGCCTTGTCCTCTCCCACCTCTGCCTTTGTCTGTATAGGAAATGCAACCTCTCCCTGCAAGTTTATTTCAAATGCTACCTCCTTCATATGGTTGGTGGTCATCTTCCTCTGTGCTTCCTTTGTGCCCCTATGATAATCTTTAGGACATTTTGCCTTACTTCTTCTCAAACAGATACACACATACGTTAATTATCTGAGAATGAAAACTTCTTCCTCATTTTCTCAGACCCCCTCCTCTCTCGCTGACACAGTGACTGCGCTGGGCAGTTCATCACCATATTGTCTCAACTACGAAAGCACTTTCTCCATACTTCCCATGGGACACTTCCATAATTAAAAAAAAAATAACAACAGTAGCTACTACTTACTGAGTACTTACTATGAATCAAAAACTGACACTGGCACTGACACTAATAACCTCGTTGCCTCAGTTTCTCATCTGGAAAATGGGACTAATCATACCTGTTTCATGGAAATGTTGTCATGGACACTATAAGAGATACAAGTGAGAGTCTTAGTATGGGGACTAACAAATATCAATACTTGATAAATATTTTACCACAATGTCTTAGTTAAGAGAAGGGAAAATCTATGAGGTCATTAGGTGTGAAGGGATGCTATTGGCTGAAGGAAAATGAAATGCTAGGGGGTTGCTGAAGACCAACATACCTCATCTTATTTTTTTTGTCTACTATTTGACCTGTTCTTTCTGTTGGAGAAAAAGAGTCCATCTTCTGTGGGTGCTAGCTTCTTCGTAAGTCACAGAAATACGTTGCTTATTTGTTACTTGGTTTGACCACGAGTCATCTGAGAACTTCCATGAGGGAAATGCTGTTCAAAAAGCCTCTGTATGAGGAAGAGGTCATTTATTCAATAACTGTTCATGGAGCAGGTTAACATCAAGCTCTGTGCTAGATGCTGGGGACATAGTGATGAACAGGACAGCATCTTGCCTTTATGGATACTTTAGTGTCAAATGGGAAATAACTAAGCAAGTAAGGGCAAGAAGTTCATCACATAGACTCTGTCGCACACACACTCCCACACACTGTGCATAGTTTAACCCTGATTCCTAGAAATCTTGCCAGGGAAGAGGGCAAGGAGCCAGGGGACATTGGCAAAAATATGAACCCAAGAGACTGGACCACTCCAAGATGGGAGGGTAAAAGGGTAAATTATTCAGTGGGGATAAGAGGGAGAAAAGGTAAGAGGCTGACTCAGTAGCTTTGATTTGGGAGAGTAGCTATGCTGGAAAGGACCAGCAGATCCCAAAGCTTAAGGGAGGTAGTGTCAAATATAGTGAGCTTAACTAAGGCAGAACAGAGAGGAAAGGAGATCTTTTTTTTTTTTAACTGAAGTATAGTTGATTTACAACATTGTGTTAGTTTTTAGTGTACAGCATAATGATCTAGTTATATATATATATATATATATATATATATATATATTTTCATATTCTTTTCCTTTCTGGTTTATTACAGGATATTGAATATAGTTCCTTGTGCTATGCAGCAGGCATAGTTGGTTATCTATTTTATGTATAGCAGTTAGTATCTGCCATTCCCAAACTCTCAATTTATCCCTCCCCCATGCCACTTCCCATTTGGTAACCATAAGTATGCTTTCTGTCTGTGAGGCTGTTTTGTAAATAAATTAATTTGTATCATTTTTTAGATTCCACATACAAGTGATACCATATGGTATTTGTCTTTCTCTGTCTGACTTATTTCACTTAGTATGATAATCTCTATGTCCATTCCTGTTGCTGCAAATGGCACTATTGCATTCTTTTTTTACGGCTGAAAATATTCCATTGTGTGTGCATGTGTTTGTGTGTGTACACACACATACATATATATATATATATATACACACACAAGTGTGTGTGTGTATCACATCTTTTCTCCAGTCATCAGTGGACATTTAGGTTGCTTCCATGTCTTGCCTATTGTGAATAGTGCCGCTGTGAACATTGGGGTGCATGTGTCTTTTTGAAATAGTTTTTTCTGGATACATGCCCAGGAGTGAGGTTGCTGGATCATACGGTAACTCTTATTTTTAGTTTTTTAAGGAATCTCCATACTGTTTTCCATAGTGGCTGCACCAAACTACATTCCCACCAACAGTGTAGGAAGATTCCCCTTTCTCCCACCCTCTCCATCGTTTATTATTTGTACACATTTTAATGATGGCCATTCTGACCAGTATAAGGTGATACCTAATTGTAATATTGATTTGCATTTCTCTAATATTTAGTAATGCTAAACATCTTTTCATGTGCCTATGGGTCATCTGTATGTCTCTGGAGAAATGTTTATTTAGGTCTTCTGCCCATTTTTTGATTGGGTTGGTTTTTTTTGAGTTGTCTGAGCTATTTATATATTCTGGAAATTAAACCCTTGTCAGCCACATCATTTGCAAATATTTTCTCCCAGTCCATAGGCTGTCTTTTCATTTTGTTTATGGTTTCCTTTACTGTGCAAAAACTTATGAATTTAAGCCCCATTTGCTTATTTTTCCTTTTATCTCTATTGTCCTAAGAGACTGACCTAAGAAAACATTGCTACAATTTATGTCAAAGAATGTTTTTCCTGTGTTCTCTTCTAGGAGTTTTATGGTGTCATGTCTTAAATTTAAGTCTTTAAGCCATTTTGAGTTTATTCTTGTGTATGTTGTAAGGGAGTGTTCTAACTTCATTGATTCACATGCAGCTGTCAGCTTTCCCAACACCACTGGCCAAAGAGACTATCTTTTCTCCATTGTATATTCTTGTCTCCTTTGTCAAAGATTAATTGACTATAAGTGTGTGGGGTTATTTCTGGGCTCAGTACTCTTTTTTTGTTTTTGTGCCAGTACTACACTGTTCTGATTACTCTATATCTCTGTAGTATTGTCCAAAGCCTGGAAGGGTTATGCCTCCAGCTTTGAGGAACAAGAACAGTACTGCTTTGGCAATTCTGGGTCTTTTATGGTTCCATATAAATTTGAGGATTATTTGTTCTAATTCTGTGAAAACTGTCCTGGGTAATTTAATAGGGGTTGCATTAAATCTGTAGATTGTTTTGGGAAGTATGGCCATCTCAACAATATTAATTCTTCCAATCCAAGAGCATGGGATATCTTTCCATTTCTCTGAATCATTTTCAGTTTTCTTTATCAATGTTTTATAGTCTCAGCCTGTAAGTCTTTCACCTCCTTGGTCAGGTTTATTCCTGGTTTTGTTTTTTTGTTTTGAAGTGACTTTAAAAGAGATTGTCTTTTTACTGTCCCTTTTTATTGTTGGTGTACAGAAATGCAACAGATTTCTGTTATGTCAATCTTGTATCTTGCTGTCTTGCTGAGTTTATTGATCAGTTCAAGTAGTTTTGTATGGATTCTTTAGGGTTTTCTATATACAGTATCATGACATGTGCATATATTCACAATTTGGATCCCTTTCATTTCTTTTTCTTATCTGATAACTCAGACTAGGACTTCGAATACAATGTTGAATAGAAGTGGTGAGAATGGGCAGCCTTGTCTTGTTGCAGATTTTAGCAGGAAGGCTTTCAGCTTTTCAGCACTGAGTATTATGTTGGCTGTGGGTTTGTCATACAGAGCTATTATATTGAGATATGTTCCCTCTATACCCGCTTTGGTAAGAGTTTTTATCATGAATGGATGTTGAATTTATCAAATGCTTTTTTTTTTTTTGCATCTATTGAGATGATCGTGTGAATTTTGTCCTTTCACATTTATTGATTTGTGTATGTTGAGCCATCCTTGTGACTTTGGGATGAATCTAACTTGATCATGGTATATGAACTTTTTTATGTGTTGCTGGATTTGGTCTGCTAATATTTTGTTGAGAATTTTTTCATCTATATTCATCAGAGATAATGGCCTATAATTTTCTTTTTTGGAAGTGTCTTTGTCTGATTTTGGTATCAGGGTGATAGTGGCTTGATGAATGACTTTGGGAGTGTTCCCTCCTCTTCAAACTTCTGGAAGAGTTTGAGAAGGATGAGTATAAGTTCTTTGTATGTTTGGTACAATTCCTGAGTGAAGCCATCTGGTCTTGGACTTTTATTTGCAGGGAGTTGTTATTATTATTATAGATCCTATTTCACTTCTAGTGGTTGGTCTGCTCAAATTATCTATTTCTTTTATCTCTTTTTTAATTGAAATATAGTCAGTTACAATGTGTTGATTTCTGGTGTACAGCATAATGTTTCAATCATATGTATACATACATTCACTTTCATATTTTTCATTATAGGCTACTATAAGATTTTTAATATAGTTCCCTGTGCTATACACAAGAAATTTGTTTATCAATTTTATATACAGTAGTTAATATTTTCAAATCTCAAACTCCCAATTTATCACTTCCTACCTCCTCTGCCAATAACCGTAAGTTTGTTTACTATGTCTGTGAGCCTGTTTGTTTTGTAGATAAGTTCATTAGTGTCTTCTTTTTTTTCTTTTTAGATTCCACATATGAGTGGTATCATATGGTATTTTTCTTTCTCTTTCTGGCTTACTTCACTTAGAATGATGATCTCCAGACCCATCCATGTTGCTGCAAATGGCATTATTTTATTCTTCTTTGAGGATGAGTAGTATTCCATTGAATAAATACACCACAGCTTCTTTATCCAGTCATCTGTTGATGGACATTTAGGTTGTTTCCATGACTTGGCTGTTGTATATAGTGCAGCTATAAACATTGGGGTGCATGTATCTTTTCAAATTAGAGTTCCCTCCGGAGATAGACAGACAGACAGATATGTTTTCTTCTAGGAGATTTACAGTGTATTGTCATATTTAAGTTTTTAAGCCATTTTGAATTTACTTTTGTTTATGGTGTGAGGGAGTGTTCTAACCTCATTGATTTATATGTGGTTGTCTGGTTTTTCCCAGCACCACTTGCTGAGGAGACTGTCTTTTCTCCATTGTATATTCTTGCCTCCTTTGTAGATTAATTGACTGTGACTCTTTGGGTTTATTTCTGTGCTCTCTATTCTGTTGCATTGATCCATATGTCTATTTTTGTGCCAATACCATGCTGTTTTGATTACTATAGCTCTGTAGTATTGTCTGAAGTCTAGGAGGGTTTATTCCTCCAGTTTTGTTCTTTTTCTTCAATATGGCTTTGGCAGTTTTGGGTCTTTTGTGATTCCGTATAAATTTTAGGATTATTGGTTCTAGTTCTGTGAAAAATGTCCTGGGTAATTTGATAGAGATCACATTAAATCTGTAGATTGCTTTGGGTAGTATGGCCATTTCAACAGTATTAATTCTTCTAATCTAAGAGCATGGGCTATCTTTCCATTTCTTTAAGTCATCTTTAATTTCCTTAATCAATGTTCTGTAGTTCTCCATATATGTTTTTCACCTCGGTCAGATTTATTCCTAAGTATTTTACTTTTCTGGGTATTATTGTAAAAGAATTTTTTTTTTTTTGCTATATAAGTTTATTATTACTGTAACAACATTTAATGGAGTATAATCTGTGCATATACTGAATCACCATGCTGTACATCTGAAACTAGTATGATATTGTAAATCAACTATACTTCAACAAAAGAAATACATAGGTAAAAGGGTTTATTCTTTGTTTTTGTGGAGTTTTTTTTGGGGGGGGGGGAGTCCATTTTTGGTTTTGACTTAGAAGCAAGGCTGATTATTATTCCTCAGACGCCCCAGAGTGGTTAGTTGTCATTTCTGTCCTTAATTTATTTTTGTTGTTGAAGTATAATCAGTTTAGTTTCTGTGTCAGTTTCCGGTGTACAGCATAATAGTTGAGTCATACATATAATTGTTTTCATTTTTTAATTATAGGTTACTACAAGATATTGAATATA